ACTATGGTCCTGGGGTTTATCATATTTATAATTGTACGAATTTTCAATCCCAAAAACATTACTGTAGAGCTAAGCAATATTATAAATCTATAAATATTTCAGTATAAATACAATTCAAATAAGGTACATTCTGAAAATTATTTTATAAATATTATGCTTCTTTCTCATGTATATTTAACTTGCTGAGAAGTAACTTTTTCATCAATAACTTTATTAATAATGCATTTCGGTGTGCTAGAATCATGTGATTAACATTTATTTGATTTTTCATGTCATTTTACCTTGTATATAACTGTTAATTTTATTTATTTATACAGAGTTACTTGTTTATTCGTTGAGCAGTCACACACCTTTCAGTCTCCTAATCTATTTAAACTACTAATCTATAGTTGCACATTTTTTAATGAATACATGCAGAATGTTAAAGCGATCCTAGGCTCACGTATTACTTAATGAGTAACAAGAAAGTAAGGCAAGCAGATATCATGCTTATAGATTATATATTGTAATATCTGTAGTTTCAGAAGGATTGGAATTTAATGACATTCAATATTATTGAGTACTTGTTGAATGATGTACATTTGCTGTGCTACACTTTCTCATGCTTCTTTTATTCTTTCATAACAATTACTGTACTTATCCATTCTTTGGGCGATGATTTTTCAATGATATTTCAGTAATTGATGGTTGAACTTCGTCAGTACAAAGTTTCTCGTCATGAAAAAAAATTCTTGTTTTTCTCTGGTCATTATCCATGTCATTCATGCCTTCTATTTGATTTCCAAGTTTTAAATTCTGATGTTTATTGTGGAAAACCTTAAATAGTCGCAAGTAAGGTAGTGAGTAAAAATTGTAATTGTGTAAATAAAGCTACTGTTTCGATGGTAATATTATAAGAGATAAAATGATATCAAGTTTGTTTATTACTTAAATTACGTGAAATGATTAGAAATGTACATGTGATAAGAGTTGTAATGTAGTATGTAAGATGAAATTTAGTTAACATGAAAATAAGTAGTGCAATGAATTAGCATATAAAGTGTAGTGTAGTGTTAAAAAGGGATAGATAAGATAAAAGCAAACGAGAAATAAATTTTCTGTCCAAGGATAACTTTTTGATTGATAAAAAGTATTTGCAA